CCATCTGCTGAGGATGGCTGAGGATTCAAACCGAGGACTGGTTCTAATACCGTTCTCCTCCAGCTGAGCTGCTGTTCCAGAGCAAAGCTGCTCAGCAGTAGTTTGGTTTAAACATCCCAGATCTAAGAGAAAAGCTCCGGTTTGTTTCAGATGCTGAGATGAAGGCGTTTCTGTTGATCAGGTGGTTTTTGTTTTTTCAGCCGTACCGCATTTTCAACACCTGGATGGGGGACCCCTCAAAGAACCTGCTGCTGGTGGAAGTTCTCAACGTGATCCGCAGAGAGAATCTTCTGGAGGAAGTGGCGCGTTCTGGCAAAGCTTTGCTGAACGGCCTCTACGAGCTGCAGGTACGCAGAAAAACGCCTCGTTTCACCTGCTGGGAGGAAAATTATCACATAAATCATTCAATTATGTCATTGATGCTTTATTTTAACTTATGTCCACCCACAGTTTCTCTGGGTAAAACCACACATTTCAGACAAAAAAAAAAAAAAACAAGATTGAAAAACAGAAAGTCGGAGAAGTGAAGTAATTCAGTTTTTCAATATTTGCACAAATGCAAATCTGAAAAGTTTGGAATTCATTTGTATCTCAGACTGATTCTGATGAGACTCTGTTTGCTGCAGCAAACAGTGAAGACGCTGTAGTACGTTTAGACTTAAAATACATTTCCAAGTGAAAACTCAGTGGTGGAAGCATCAGGTTGATCCTTTGCTTTCCTGAAATGATCCTCAGAGACTCAGTAGTGATGTTATGAGATGAGCCGAGGCTTCGAGGCGTGTCGAGTAGTGGAGGGGGCGTTTCCATGAGGCGTGTATCGAGGCTTTAGGGGAGGAGCCAAAATAGATGAAGTCTGAAGCCTCAGTACTGTGAAACCACGTGACCGCCTCGGGAAGTGGTCCTGCTTGCCTGCAACGTCGACGGGCATTTTAACAGCCTCATTATTCAGTGAAGATGCAGGAGATTATAGGAGAGCTGCTGTCAGTTGGATGGAGTTTGGATAGATTCTAAGAGTAGATTGGTTGGAAAAACAACCAATCTAGTTGGTTAAAACTATTTTGTTAGATTAAACAATGTAATGTAATAATGTGACTAATTATATGGATTTTCTCATCTACCAAATTAGATTGTTTAGTTTAGCCAAAAGATTGGTTTAACACATATCTTCCAACCCGATTAAAACAAAAAAAATTTATATAAAAATTATTATATTTGAATAAAAATGAGTATCACCTTTTTTTTGCTCATCATTCCAATTTATACAAACACTTTCACTTTCACTGAAAAAAAAACAAACCCGAGAAAAACATTTGCAAAATATCACAGATTATATTATTAACTGTAGTTCTGCTGTCCACCAGTAGGTGGTGACATTTTCCCATGAAGTTTCCTGAACTGATGGGATCTTGAAGCAATTTGCTCATCACTAACTCTCAGGCTGCGCTGCAGGATTGAGACAGACACTTTGAGCTGCCGTCGTACTGAAAGCTTCTTCTTTTTTAATTAAGTTTCAGGCCATGTGCTTCAAAATATGATTTATTACTCCAGTGTCAGTCAGCACATCGCTGCAGTATGTCACTGTGAAGTGAAACAAATAAAAACCAAGTGAATTTTCATGGTGACACAGAGGAATCTTCCTGCTGCTGATGATGTCATCTGAATGTGTGTGATGATGCGCTGCCTTCCTGCGTCCCTCAGGCTCAGTACCCCGGCCTGCTGAGCCGAGCTCGAGGACAGGGGACGTTCTGCGCCATCGACGTGAAGGACTCGGCCACCCGAGACAGACTGCTGCTACAGGCCAGGGACAAAGGTAACAGGTCCACAGAGGTGTTGGGACAGTGTTGGGTTTCTAAGAACACATCCTGCAGGTTTGACTCCACCTATGAGAGATTAAAGAGCGGCCCTGTATGGTTCCTGCTATCCTTGGTTAAAAAGTGAGTGAAATTCAAAGCATGAAGAGAAACAGAAAAACAAACAGAAACTCCAGAACAAACAGCTTCACACGGCTGCTCCTCAGGGTCCCTGCAGAGTCAGTTTGACAAAGTATCAGCTACCGTATTTACCGGACTATAAGCCCCTACAGTTTTCCCACGCTTTGAACCATGAGGCTTATAAGAAGGTGCAGCTTTTCTGTGGATTTTTCCTAACAATTCAAAGTTGGAAAGNGAATTTTCATGGTGACACAGAGGAATCTTCCTGCTGCTGATGATGTCATCTGAATGTGTGTGATGATGCGCTGCCTTCCTGCGTCCCTCAGGCTCAGTACCCCGGCCTGCTGAGCCGAGCTCGAGGACAGGGGACGTTCTGCGCCATCGACGTGAAGGACTCGGCCACCCGAGACAGACTGCTGCTACAGGCCAGGGACAAAGGTAACAGGTCCACAGAGGTGTTGGGACAGTGTTGGGTTTCTAAGAACACATCCTGCAGGTTTGACTCCACCTATGAGAGATTAAAGAGCGGCCCTGTATGGTTCCTGCTATCCTTGGTTAAAAAGTGAGTGAAATTCAAAGCATGAAGAGAAACAGAAAAACAAACAGAAACTCCAGAACAAACAGCTTCACACGGCTGCTCCTCAGGGTCCCTGCAGAGTCAGTTTGACAAAGTATCAGCTACCGTATTTACCGGACTATAAGCCCCTACAGTTTTCCCACGCTTTGAACCATGAGGCTTATAAGAAGGTGCAGCTTTTCTGTGGATTTTTCCTAACAATTCAAAGTTGGAAAGAAAAGAATAAGGAGCTAATTTTTATTTAGCAAAAGAACATACTAGCAGCATCCACGACAGAGAACAAATGACCTGAATTCATACATTTTTACATTTATTGCTGCATTAAAGCTGCCGAACCAATGAAGAGACTGAGCTGAACTCCTGCTGAAAAGGCTTGATGAAGCTCCAACTCTCAGTAGAAGCTCTTGCAGCTGTGAGCTAACAAGCTAACAGGAGCTAGCATTCTTCTTCGTCCCTACCACTGATCTCCATTTTTTTGCTAAGAGCCCGTTGGTAGTACGGAGTTGCAGTGAATCCACCGGCCGCCATATTGGTACTCCTTAGTTAGATCGGTTGCAATATAAACAATCCGTGCCAATTGGAACAATCCAATCCTACAGCATCAAAAAACAACGATGTTCTCTTTTTCTGGGGGACTTAAGACTTTTAAAATAAAGATAAAATCATCATTTTGACACAGACTGGCTGTTTCACAGCATCAGTAGATTAACTTTAACTTAGAATAAATCACATTGCAGAGTCATTATGAAGTCAATGAAGTCTATAAATCATGTAAACATATTATAACAAGTCATTACAAGAAAATGAATGTGTAAATGGAGCAGAATAATACAGATGTGCTAAAAGTGCTAAATTGCTGATGTACATGTATGGATGACATTGTTTTGGTAATTACATCTTACATGTCATATATATATATTATAAATTTAAGTAACACTTTGAAAACACATCAGATCTCAAGGGGGGAATAAATCCTGCTGTTTATTTATCCTGATATGGACTGGGTGATGTGTTAGGAACAACAGGATGACACATCATTTGATGGAAATGAAAATGATCAACCTTCAGAGCGCTGAATTCAAAGACGACCCAAAAATGACAGTGAAAAAATCATGCAGCAGGCTATAGTCCATTATGCTGAAGTTTCGTTGCAGCAACTCAAAATGGTATTCAGTAATTTGTATGGCCCCCACGTGCGTGTATGCATGCCTGAAAATGTCGGGGCGTGCTCCTAATGAGACGATAGATGGCCTTCTGGGGTATCTCCTCCCAGATCTGGACTAGGGCATCACTGAACTTCTGGACAGTCTGAGGTGCAACCTGGTGGCGTCGGATGGATGGAAACATAAAGTTCAAGAGGTGTTCTATTGGATTTAGGTCACCATAGGTCACCATGTTTACCTTTCATCACTGCTGCTCTTTAAGAAATGTCTAAGTCTAAGATAGAGCTGAAAAAATCTCTGATGAATCCTGATTAATCGC